AGTTTTCGCATATAGGCGAGACTTACCCTGAGGGCGTACGAGGACAAGCGAGGCTAGATGGCTACGATCCATCGAAGTATCAGTGAGTGGGCATTTGTTTTCGTGTGTGTGTGTGTGTGTGTGTATAAACTTTATAGTTTCCACAAATGTTTTTGAATTGATTTATGCATACTATGCTATGATTAAATAACGTTATTAGAAATGTTGTACTGTTGTAAAATGCTAAAATAATCTTACGGGATGCGCAAGTAAGTTTATTGTCAGGTAAGTTTATTATGTTGATTAGAATTATTGAATTGTTATGGCATGCTTATATTTATGTGGTCCACTCATCATTGCTGCACCCCCGGTGTTAGTGCTCACCCTAGGTTAGGGCCAGTCTTTCACGTGTATATTCACTTCTGCACTGCACGCTCGACTTGGATCCGAGTAGGTGCCAATCATGTCGTACAGGTTGCATTAGGCAACTTCGACTCGTAAGTGCCCGCAATTAACGCCAGTCTTCATGTGATTGTAGCACTAGAGCGTATATTATGATTACACCCAGTCTTGTCATACAAGTCGCATTAGGCAACTCTGACTCGTGTGCTGGCATAGATTGATGAGCATTAGTTTAGTTGTACAGGTCGTATTAGGCGACTCCAACTTGTGTGCTAGTATAGATTGATTGAACACCTGATTTTACTTGTATTATTGTTGAGATATTGTGATGTAGCATACTTCTGGATTTATTATTGATTTGTATTTGATTTCGTACCTATACGTAGTATGTGTTTCTGTAAACTATATAGGTTTTACAGCAAGAGGTTAGTATGTTCAGAAAATAAATGGATTTTATAAACTTTTGTTTTTGCCCACTCACCCTTCTGTTTTTCACCCCTCCAGGTCCTAAATAGCTGAATTACTCTATGGCGTACAAGGATTAGCCGGCGATTTTGACATATCCCTGTTTAAGTGTAGGAACTTATCCCGTTGTGTACTAAGTACTTAACTAGTTTTGACTGCACTATTTGTCATCTATGCCCTGAACATTTGTATTCTATGGGCTCTACCCACTGCTGCGCACTCACTTTATTAGTCTAAATAAGTTCTAGTTTCGGTTTTAATTTATTCACATATTTACATCACTTACACTTTTGGTTACGTCACCTTTGGGTGACGGCCAGCATACCTCGACTGCGGTCGGGATGTGTTAGAAACCAAAAAACTTCAGGCTTACAAATAGATAGATTATGAGTTTTGTTTTCCATTTGAACTTTTTAAGTGTTTTTGTATAAATCGTGAGGTTTTTTTTCCTATTTACTAACCTCATCAATATAAGACTAAAAAAATAATGATATTTTCGAGTCTTTAATGATATGTATAAGTAATGAATGGGCACCAAATTAAACTTTTTGATGACACGTCATATGATTTGCAAATTTGGTCTAAAAATTTAGTCTATGCATCACCCTTTGTTGAAGATTAGAATTGAATTTAGTCTAAAAATTTAGTTAAATTTCTTCGTCATTAAGCCAAATTTCATAAATTTACACTCTTATGAAAACGTATATAAATATGTCACACTAATAATTTTGGTGCCCTAATTTTTTTTGGGCTCCAAACGGTTGCCCTGCCCGCACTAGGCCTGGGCCAGCCCTGAGTACATGGAAGAAGAACTCGAGGAGTCGAATAGCCGAATCAGGTGGGAAGTAGCTTGCAGCAAGGAATAAGAATTTAGAAAGAAAAAAAAGGCATGAAACTCCAATCTGCAACAAGATTTGACAACAATTGAGACAAAGTTCAAAGAAAACGGGACACGCTAAGAGGAAACTACCAAAAATCAATGGGAAAAAAAAAATAAAAAAAAAAAAAGAAAGAAAGAACGAGGTTAGGAAAGAAGAAGAAAAAAGGGATTAGGAAAGGAGACAGAGTTGCCACTAACCCCACCCAAGGGGGACGGCAGCGGCTAAAATGAGATCAACTTTGGGGATTTTGACTTGAGGGGAGAGGGAGCGCCGCTTTGTGGAATGTCTATGCTAATATGAACAATATAAATATAAATAATGGATAAACCATGAAACAATATTTTCTATTCCTTCGTTTGTTTGCCCCAAAAGACGTGTCAACAGAAATCTAATCTTAGGGCTTGGTTTCACCGCTACAAGTAGTCCTAATTAAATGAGTTTTGTGCTCCAAGAAAAGGTCAAGGAAATAGTGTGAAAATTCATGCAAATTTGGAAACGCATTTAAAACAATTAAAAAGTAATGTTAAGGAGATCAAATTTTTAAACAAAATTTACAAATCAAATGATGTGTTATCATTTACCAATAAGAAACAAGCACGTTAATCCATAATTAATTAGTAATTTAATAATCTACAACCATGTTATTTAGTTTGCAAATTTAGTTTAAATATTTTAATTTTCCTAACATTATTCTTAATTAAATGATTTTTAAATCGTCAAAAACGTTATGGTCAGTGCTTGCCAGTAAGTTAAAGGTGTTGCGTGCTTAATTTAAGTACTTTTTTTCTTACCAATTTCACTGTACTCCAAATAAAAAACGTTTTTATTAAAAATGCTTTTGAACAAAAACGCTTTCTAAAGGAAAGCATTTCCTAACATGAGGTAGTAGATGATTTCACGGGCATGCAAATGGAAACATCAGGCACGTTAGGTCAGAAGCACGCATGCATAGACCAAAAGAAAATCTATCTAAATTCCAACATGCACCGCCGCATGACTTGTTCAATCGGTCGGTAATACTCAAACAGTAGAAAAGTAAACAAGACCTATGGTTTTAATTTTATAGAATATAAGAAGCACGCATGCTTTAGTTTTTAGGAATTGGATCCTCTCCGAGGCAAAGCCTTGGGATCCTGCTGACCCACTAACACGGGCCGTTAGATTTTGATCTAACGCTTACAATTATTATAACTTTAGAGGGGCTTCTCTGTTTATAGTCATTGGATCAAAATTTAACGACCCTTATTATTGGACAGGAGGATCCTGAGGCTTTGCCTCGGAGAGGATCCAATTCCTAGTTTTAACGTTTTTCTCACCTACTTTTATTATCTTCTTCCTTGTCGGTTATAATTTGACAACACGTTTTAGTTGTCAATTATGTGCAAATATAAACAGAAAATGTTAAGGAGACTCTTTCAAAAGTAAGACTTTTTATATATTCACTGTCATTTCATATTTTTAACATAATTTTTATACCAACAATATAAAATATTGTGTTAAAAACATAAAATAACGGATAATTTATAGAAAGTCTCATTTTAATAGAATCTTTTTAGCATTTCTCGTACAAAATATAACAGCAGAAAAGTTTCCAAGACCTTTGTTTAAACTTTGTACCATGATTCTTTCATTTGTCATCTAATAGGGTTTTGTCGATTCGCAAGAATCGAAAGAAGAACGCAATAATGATGAAGGAATGAACAGTTTAAGAGATAATTGAGGCATTCCAATGTTATATTCCTACATTTTTTTAATATTAAAAAATACAAGCGATATTGAAAGAATGTTGAATGAGACATAGACGAATGTTCTTATTTCAACTGAAAGTGCAACGGCGAATTTGAACCACATTATTCCTCTTCACTTGTTAGTGAGAGGTCTTAGGTTCAATTTTCCCCAAATGCAAATTTGAACCACATTATTACTAGCTCATTGTGAGGTTAAGTCCATCTCCTTCTGTTTTGTGTAGATACTATCATTTGTTAAAAAATAAAAATAAAATGAAAGTGCAACCCTTGCAATTATAACTACTTTTAGTACTTCATTTTAGGTGATGGACTTGTATATATTTCTTATTGGCATTCCGTGTATGTATTTTAATTTTGACTTTTTAGCCAAAATGATCCTTAAGATTGATGTCACTATTCACTTTGGTTCTTAAGATTTAAATCAATAGCAGTTATACCTGAGATTGTTCACCTTCAATTATTTTGGTCATTCTATGAAAAATCTCAATTAAATTGAAGAAACCACCAACTCATGTGGAAAGGTTGAATTGACAAAAATATTCTCAATCTAACGGAGATTTTTCACAAAAGTGACCAAAATGATTGACGGTAGACAATCTCAGAGACCACTTCTATTGATTTTAAATATCAAAGACCAAAATAAGGAAGTATGTCAATCTCATAAATAAATCATTTTAGCTAAAATAAAATAAAATAAACCTTTAACTTTTTCGGAAACTGTATTAGCGCCACTAAGACAACTCTCTCTCTCTCTCTCTCTCTCTCTCAATTTAGACTCTATAAGTACCAATTGAGAAGAAATTAAATGACAAATAAGTAAAAGAAAACGAGAAGAGTGAAGTTTTTTATTTTTCTAGCCATGAATCAATCTTTACTCTTTTTATGTAATAAATCACGTTGGTAGCAGAGAGACAAGGACCTTGGTATTCTTGGTCCTTTGCATGCGGGAAGACCTACAAATAGGCCCATGATGTCAACCAACCTACGGCCCAATCTAGGTCAGCCCCAAAAACTTCTTCGTAAAGTTAAAATACTCAAGCGGATGCTTTGTGAATGAAATGGTATGAGTGGAGCTAAGCTACACTTTTTAACAAGTGGTATTATCTACACTAAGAGGGAGAAGGTGGGCTTAACCTCACAATGAGTTAGCAATAATGTAGTTCAAATTCTTCTTTGGCAAGAATCGAACCTAAGAACTCACTTTCAAAATAAGAAATAATAGTGCTAGTAATAATTTGATACAAACTCGTCTTTCATAAAATTCAAATGTCAGACCTGTTACTTACAAAAGAAGAGGAATACCACCAAATTATAGTACCAGTGGCCCCTTTGTTTCCCGACTTCAGAATTGTATAAATCAAAGAAGAATCAAATGATAAACAAGACGTGGATGGCGGAAAGAGAAACAAGTGTGAAATCACGTACTCAAGATCAACATCACAAGTAAATTATATTGAATAGCAAACCTAACTTCCAAGATTAGACGATCAAATACACAAAACAAGAAACTAAAGCCCTTGCCAAATCAAGTAAAAGGCAAAACAGATCAAGATACCTTTGAACAACGTATACAAATTGACTGACAAAAAAGGTCTTCGAACATACACAAAGAGATCACATCTACAAAGTGGGAAAGGCTCCGTTCATTTCCCGTTGCATGCGTTATCACACTTCTTGTAGTTAAATTATATTACATCATTGGTGGCCCCAACAATTACGAGTCATTAGATAAGAACCTAGGTTTTTTTAGTGCTAATCACCACTCGTCTTCGAGACTAGCCCGGTGGAAACACATGACAGTACAGACAAATATGAAGAATGAAAAGAATTCAATCCACATAGCAGGTGTCTCAATCATATGAGCGTGCCTAAGAATGATGGGAATGGCTATGCTCCCAACAGTTGATGCACCAGTCAAAAATTTAGCAGCATTTATCCACCTGCAATACAAAGAGAAAAACGAGAAGGCGTTAATGTGACTTTGGCTAATAGAGATTCTTTGTAAGGGCAGTTTACCAGTGGCACAAGTTCCATGGGCTATTGGTTACAGCTTATTCGGAGGGTAAACATCACAACGAAAAGCTCCAGGTACTGTTCACTTTAACGAAAAACCACATATTTACACTAAAAAGTCAAACCTGGTACTATTCACTTCACCCTTTATTTTGTCCTTTTCATTAAAACTCAAAGTTTTCAAGCCCTTTTCATTAGTTTTCCTTTGATCTTTATGAATTGGCCCTCCTTTCAACAATATTTCAATATGTACTTTTATGCTTTGTTCTACTTGTCTATAAATCAAACTTCTAGAATGAGCTATATTTCCCTCAGATTTTTAGAATGAGCTATACTTGTGTTATCTTCATGAATCATCCACGCATGGCAATGGGCAAAAAAAACCTGGTTAGATCTAGTTGTGAGTTCCACCAAACGGGCGGACAAATAAATTGGTCCATGACACACAAGTATCATGGCATTATAACTATGAGCTATCTATAAGGTAAAGAATGTTATTAGTACAGGGCATATTACATATGAGGGTTACATTAAGGAAGAAAATTTTGTTACATAAGAGCTCAAAAAGACTCACCCATCGCTTTCCCTTGCAAATAAAACCTGAGTAGAACCGCCACCAAAGAATAAGCAAGGCATGGGTACCAGCACGTACATCAGAGCTACAAGAATAATCAAAATTCACATCCCTTGATACTCAAAGAACCTAAATACCAAGTAGAATAAACAAATTATATTAACTACTCTCACCGGATAACATCGGCCACCAATTGTTGTATAATGCACAAGCCTGCCACACATTAGAAGACATAATCATAATAACAAACAGTAAATGGTAAGCATATAAGACATTTCAGATCCAATTGGCAGTTAAGTTCAAAACCATTTCCTCCCTTAATCTGGTGATATATCACCAAGCATTATTATTAATACAGCAAGCGATATAATAGCCTTTTCAGAAGGAAAGGCAGCTTCAACAACACCCAGGCGCTAGGGTTCTATAACTTTGCCATGGTAACCAGCTACAAAGGCCATCTATATCAACAAAAGAAAAAGAAGAGAAAGAAAATCTAACCCACACAAGAATTATTGATTGCTGTAATAAAATATCAATGCACAAATGGCCTCTTACTACTTCGACATCATTAAACAAACCAGGGAATAAATCTACAAAAATCCTCCCAACTCTAAAGTGAAAAGGTAACAAGGAGAATACTCCTTAAAATGCATCCTATCCCTAAATTTCTTTTAGGGAAGTGTCCAAGATTCTAGCTTAACTTTTCTTCTAAAGTGGGTTACTAAAAAATGTGAACAGCAATGTGCCAACTGCATAATGAACCGCATTATAAGAGAAGTTAAGTTAAAAACAAGCACACTGCTTCTGAATTCATAAAGTAAGATGATTCACAAAGATAAACGCAAGTGTGTGTGTGTGTGCGCCCCTTATTCTTCATGCATCCAGCATATTTTTAAGGAAGAGTATGGATGACATAACAGAATACTAGGTTATAACTGCAATTGAACAGACGCATATATCTGTAGGCTGGAGTACAAGGCAAACACCTTTTAAAACACTTTAGAGCATGTAATAACCACAAGCTCACAACCAGTCGAGCGATTAAAAAATAAATAATAATATAAATAAAAGACAAATACCAGGATTTGTAACAAGATGCTTGCTGAAAACATAAAAGCAAGTCCTGCAAGCCTGTACACCAAGAAGTTCACTTCAGAAATGTAGCTTCATAACATGGATAAATTTACATAACCAAATTCCTACTTACACTGCAAAGAACACGAACCATCAGCAATACGGGGAGGAACAATGCACCAAAACAAAAAGGTATTAGTACTCAATCTCATCAAAGCATGAACGAAGACAGAACAAAAAACACAATTGCATGACTTATATATATTTGAAGGACGTCATGCTCGCAGCGTATGACAAGTAGGAGCGAGCAACGCAACCCTTCAAATTTTGTGAACTAAAGCCCCTAATTTTCATATAGTGATCATGATGGAAATCCAAGCTTCCCATTACGCTTCCACATTAGTAAGTTAAAACTAAAATCTAATTGATAACATTAACTACTTCCGATAAGACATCAAAAATACAAATGAGCAAAATTCAGAGAATTGCAGAATTTTAGTAATCACAAAATTTTAATTAAACTGAGAAGCACTCCAAATTGGGTGTTTTCAAATCATAAAATATGATCAACTATACGAAACCCTAATTAATTTTAGCACAATTCCAAAATGTTCAGCTCTCAAGCCCACTCGATTCCACTTCTCCAACGTTTTCAGAGGAATTGGACAAATATAATAAATAAATAAAATAGTAGAATTTTAATATTATTCAACGAAATTGTGCGTATTTATCTTCATCCAGCCAAAAGCAAAATTATTGTAAATAATCGAAGGAAAAAAATGAACAGAGTGGGTTAAGAATTGTACCTTCAATGGTCATCGCCATGGAAGAGAAGAGAGGCTAGTGACGGAGGAAGCTTCGTGTTCGCGAATCGCGACCAAAGAAGCAAAACGATGAGCTCCAAAATTTGCAGAGGTGAAAGGTATCGGTCTTCGATTGGTCTTCGGTTTCAGGAGTCGAGGCCCAAAATTATAAAATAAAATAAAATAAATAATAAAGAAAGTGAGTCTCCTTCTTTTTGCCGGGTAAAAGTTTAGCTGCAGTAAATACTGTAACGGGCGGACGTTATACTAGGATTTGGATCCTCTCCTAAGCCCAAGGAAGGATCCTCTTGATTAAGGACTGTAGGCCGTTAGATGGATCCTCCTGATCAAAGACTGTGGACTATTGAATTTTCATCCAATAGCTACAAATAGGAGAGTTCTTTAAAGTTATAATAATTATAATCGTTAGATGAAAATTCAAGAGCTCACAATTTTTTGTCAGGAGGATTCTCCTTGGGCTCAAGAGAGAATCCAAATCCTACTATAACGTCCGCTTGTTTGAATTCAAAATATACCTCTATAAGGCGTTTTTACTCAATATTGTTTTTGTCAATAGTACTTGTTTTGCATTTTTATAAAAAAGCAGTGTGTTGTTTGGCAACATCTAAATAGCGACCTGGAGAATTTATTCCATTATTATTGCTATTCGTTGGAAAGCTAGTATGTTTTGTTCAAAGTGATTGAAAGTGGTCTTCGAGATCTTTCAATTGAGTAGTCTATGTTGATGCAACTTTAACCAATTCAAGGGTGCGCTTTATGAGTTGGGCCTCCTCCCTCAACCTCAAGGGCGATGGTCCTCTTTTGTGACGGACTACCATGTCCTTTAGTTTTGTAATTTTTAAAGGGGGTTTTTCCTTTTCTCCCCTCTCTTTTTTGGTATGCATATGGAGTATTTTGGTGGTGTTTGCCTCTTCTTTCTAGGTTCTTGATGCTCCTTGTGTGATTAGGCAACCCTTTTACTCCCCGTTGCGAGACTAGGAGTCGTAGTGCGACTCCTCTTTCTCCATCGTACTAGATATGCATCAAGTTCACCTCAAATCATAATGATATGCATTGGTCAGTCGAAAATCAGAAAAAAGGTTGATGTAAATCTTTCAAGGTTTCTGATTTAATTTGCAAATTTTGTAACTTAATCACGTGTGAGCACCAACCTCCACTAGAGAACTAACACATCAAATGAAGAAACAAAAAGCAACGAATCCAAATATTTCCTTCCTCTTCTAAATTTTCCAAGTTAGCATATGTAGTCATAGAGAGCATATGGCCTACAATAAGAGAATATTCTTTTCTTCTACAATACTCATCTCTTAATTACATGGTTGCATGATGTGTGTTGCAGACTCTATATATATTAATTACAATTCGGGGACACACGCTTTTGACATTTATTTTGTAGAGTCAACTTCATATGTGTTTCAACAATGCGAACCTTCTATATTTAAGTACGTCATTCATAAATCATCATTGCTAAACATTAGACAAATCCAATACCATTAAGACATTCATTTGTAGTAAATAAATTTGACGAACAAAGATAATTTTGTAGACATGATCTTTAGGGAAAAACATAAAATAGATGGTTGAATCATTGAAATATATTACAAAGTGAATTACACAAAAATATGTGTCAAAAGCGTGTCCTCGAATCCTAACATATATATATATATATGGATCACACAACAAATTTACTCTTAGTCATGACACTGGCATTGGGATTCATCTCACACACAACTCCCCATTCCCTTTTCTCTTAATTACAAAACTCTACATTTAGCATATGGAATTGCAAGTGATACCCTAAATATATTTCCATAAATATTCTAATTAAACCTTCAAGAGCTGCAATTTGTTCAAAAAGCCAATACCAATCCAGTTCAACTCTAAAGCAGACCAACGCACTTGATTAATCTGAGCTGTCGTTCCATACCACATCTCCGGCTCCGCATCGCCGCCGCCATTGGACTGAAATCCATGTCTCACCACATCCCAAATCAGAGCCCTTGAATCATCACTCACCGAACATAATTGGTGTCCTTTCCCTGGAGACCATGAAATGGCATTCACACTGGCACCATGTCTTTTGAGCTCCATCAGAGGTGATGTGGGAAATCTGATGTCCAATATCACCACTTTGTTGCTGTCCATTCCAACTGTGGCAATGAATCTTGGGTCATGTTTGTTCCATTCTAGCCTCAACAAAGATCTTTCTTGAGTAGGGTTTTCATAAACTATGGTAGACCTGTTGACGATGAGTTAAGAAAATATGCCTTGGGTTGGGTCACAAGATACACGAAGCATATATGAGTATCTTGAGCTACCAAATGCTATAGGGAAATGATCTCAAATGACACTATAAATTAGTCTATTACTGTAACAATATTATCAAATAACCATATCTCTCGAAATTTTCAATATTAACAAATAATTAGATTGTCTTGATATCACATAAATAAAGTACCAATGTCGATATTGTTGATTTACTATAATAATAATGCAATCTGAGAAGATTGCTATAGTGATATAGTTTTATTTTAAAACTTTTCCAAATATTAGTTTCTTAAACGTTGGTTTACTCCGTATGCAGTCGAAAGGAAAATATGTTGAACTTGCTCAAACAAACAGAAGAAAATGATCTCTCTAAAGAACTCAAGACTATAAAGAATAGAATTGTTATTAGCACTAAAAAAAAGTTCATCTACGCTCATCCATTGCTTATTATTTTACCATGGACAAGTGCGCATGATGATTGTTTTTTTTTTTTTAAGTGCTAATAGTTACTCCCATAAAAAATTAAAAGGTGAAAATTAACCCTTACCTCTCTTTGTTTCTCAAATCAAACACCCTGACAGTGCCATCACCAGAAGCTGAAGCAAACACATTGAAGCCACCCCAAGAAATGTCATACACTTCTTTGTCATGAGCCACCAACTGAGTATCCACAACTTCCCTCTCAATGTCCCAAATCGTGCATGTAGTGTCCACACTCGACGTAGCCACACGCCTAGCGTCAAACTCAGCCCAATCAAAAGACGTTATAGCCGAATTAAACTCACTACTCATGTTGCTATTCAGAAGAGACTTGAGCTCAATCCTATCATCATGGATCTCCCATAGCCTTAAGTAGTCACCGGACGTGGCGATTAGATCAGGATTCGCGGTGTCCTCAGAGGGGAAGAACATGAGGTTGGTTGGTGCGTACGGGTGGTCGAAAATGAGGCGGCTATCGGTGGCGAAGTCGGATGTGTCACGGTTGAACTGGACTAGTTCAACCTTGTTGCTGTAGTCCTCAATGAAGCTGCCAATGGCTAGGCGTGAAGGTTTGTCATGGCGGACTGACCATGCTAAGGAGGAGATTGGCCATTGACTTACGTAGGTGTGGACGCCTGCTTTTTTCTCTGCTGGACTTTGCATGCTTGGAGTTGGAATTTGATTTTTAATTCTCTATAGCTGCATGAGAGGTAAATCCAAATTTTAGAGTTGATTGAAGTACGACATTGAACAAGTATTAATCTAATTATTTGAAGCCCTGAATGCATGTTAAAGCTTTGAATTATTGTCACGCTTTTTGCCTAAAAAAGCCAAGAAAGATGCCAATAATATTGCCTGTGTCCAGTATATATTACTCCTAAATCATCTAGCTTTAACCTAGTATACTACAAGTAGATTTAATTAATTTAATGTAGCCTGAGATTTAAAGATTTAACTTCAACACTTACATCTATTTTATGTAGCATTGAGATTTAAAAATTTCTTCAATTTAACAAGATATTTACAGAATGATCAAAATAATTGATGGTGGACAATTTTAATGATCAATTTCATTAATTTTAAACTTCAGAGACCATAATGAGAGGTTATGTTAATCTCACTAATCATTTTGACTAAAAAGTCAAAATAATATTTTAGTATATTCCCATTGTAATCATTTTTCCTCATGGAATTAGATTGTTTCCCGATCTCCTCATTGAGGATCTTGGAGATCAATTAATACTAACTATTTATTAAAAATCCTACGATCACAATTAAAAACATTTTATATTTTTCAAAATAAAATAATTTCAATTTACGTAAAAATATATAAAAAAAAATTATGATCACACAATCTTTAATGAATAGTTGTTGTTAATTGATATCCCAAATAGAGGTGATCCGGAGAGTATCTAATTCCTTTCCTCACCACCACTAACCTGGTGAATATTCACCTCCATTCTGATAGTCTGCCGCGTGTTCCAAGCTTATCCCCAACCCAACCCCAAGAAATACCCTCCCTCCCCTTCCTTTCTCTTCGACCCAACAGACACCACCACACCATCACCCAATCTCCGACAACGGCGACAAACACACACTCACCAGCGCCACCGCCGCCACAACCTCTGTTACTTCGCACCCTTCTTCGTTCTCTTCGTCCAGAACCTTGATGAAGCCATGACCCGTGCGCAGACGTAACGAGATGCCGCCGTAGCTAATGCCGTCTGTATCAACCCCGGGGCCATTGTTGCGTTTCGGAGCTTTGCAGACAGAGAAATAGATTGGGCAAGAGAGAGGGAGAGTGGGACAAGGCTCTCAACATCTATCTAATTCTTTTAATACCTTCCCACCGGATTTTTTTTTTTTTTTTTTTTTTGTAATTGTTGCTTCGGGAGCGAAGGCGTGAAGAGGAAAGGAACGAATAAGCCAACAGTATTCTTTCTGGATTCTTCGGTTAGGATTACGAGGATTTTTAAATAGTATCCGATGATTGTATATCGAACTATTATTTAAATAAAAATATTTAAAATAATTTTTAAAGTGCAATGAATATATATTATAATAAAATTCTTAAAATTCTCTTAAAGAGAATCTGACTAAGGTCCGTAGTTATGAACAAAAAAGAGTAAAAAGACAAGCAAGACCTCGTTTTGCGTAAAGAATAGAAGAAATAAAGAAATTTAAAAAGTGCAAAAGCAAAACAAAAAGTTAACCATAATTAACATGAAACACGTGGCAAATTTCTGAGAGAGAAGTGTGCATTAAAAATAATAGATTTTTTAAAATGACTAAAACACGAGATGGTATATCACATATTATTATACAAATAATGAGATATGTGTTAAAAAATTAATAACTTAAAAAATACAATTTTCACCACTTATATAAAAACACGTAATACATCATCTATATCTATTGAGAAAAAAAACTTTCTCATTAAAAAGATGTAAATAGCACACCATTATATTCTAAACAAATTTACGTGTGCTTGGTAACTAATCCAAAAGTAAGTCAACCACTATTTAGTCAAAAAAATTTGTCAAACTTAGGATTTAATTAAATCTTCCCAATAAAATTCTATTTTTTCTGTAACCATGAGTTTCTACTACTTATTAAAGTATGAAATGATGCGGAGGTACATCCTTAACTAAAGAGTATTTCTTCGCAACGATATTTTTGTTAATTACCGTAACGCACTAACTACTCTACAGATTGCATCTAACTATATATATATTATATATGCTCGCTCGTGAATGGATATGAATATATATATATATATATGAATTATTCATGAAATATATAAATAAAAATGCATATGTTGAAAAAATGAAAAAATGTTGCTAATTCTTAAGCTAGTATAATCAGCTAAGGGTTATTAAAATTTGAAAAAAAAGAAAAAGAAAAAGAAGGTGATCTTTCTCTACCGAATCAACATATCTTCTCTACCTAATCATATAGATAGTTGATTATAAAAATCTCTAAATTATATTAAGTTAATTTGCTGGCCTCATCGAAACCTTCGTTTCTGGGTAGCTTCATGTACTCACTGCATTAACTAATGAACTCCTAACACAACGGTTAACCACTATATTGCACAAAAACGGAATCGTACAAGTACTCTTTGACTCCAAACTGAAATCCCCTACCTACCATGCATCTCACTTGATGAATATGATGAGAATTCTTCCTCTTCATAAGATGGTAGAGAGAGAGAGAGAGAGAGAGAGAGAGAGAGAGACTGACTTACATTGCTCGATAGAAGTTTCAGTAGCAGTTTTGGGAAACTGCTTGTGGTCCAGAGCAAGACATGCACATATAAGAGGAAAGTTAACTAGCTAGGGAGACGGGGATTGAGCTGTATTGGTGTTGCCGTATGGAAGTTGAGATATATTTATATATGGCAAATAGTTTCTTTTCTTTTAAGTCGTGGGAGATAGAAAGATAGCCTGCAGTAAACAAAACAAGAGAATGGAAGGTGAGGGCGTGAAGCTAACGGTCAATCGGCACGGCCACAAGCGTAGAAGGTTGGTTTTCATTAACTCTTCCTAACCTTTTAATGTAACATATATATTTTCAAATACTACCCCCAACTACTTAATTGCGACACTTTCAAGCATGTGTCATTGTTTGGCTCCTTACATGACCACGTGACTTCAGTTAATTGTATTAAACGTCATAATTCAACATGTTTATTTTCTTCATCATCAACTAAAGATCAACACTAGACTACTTCATTTAATTTGAAGACCGTTTAGTCACTCATATGAATCAAACAAGTTGGCTGTTAATCATAAAGATACTACTTGTTATCATAATCATAGATTTGTTTGGTACATATGAATAACTAAGCAATCTTCAAATTAAATAAATTTTTCTTAAGATCATCATTAGATAATGAGAAAGAGAATGAATAATTTACATTATTTTGTACAGTAAAAATGATGGTCTCAGCTCACCATGTAAGAAACAATAATTCCTTAGTCATGCACTCCAAATCTGTATTCGATTAATTCATCCTCCTCCATTAACTTGTATTAAAAAAAATACTAGTGTTGCTTAGCCCCACTGACTATTAATTCAATAATTTCACTTTAGTTAGGTATATAGAACAAATAAATTTCACTTTTGTTAGGTATATGGAACAACTATAGTCATATGCTATACAGTCAAAATTCTTCGATAAAAAAATATTGAAGATACTTTTTAGGTTGCCCCAATTGTACTTGTATGATTTAAATGTTTCGAGAGCTACGTTGTTGGAAGCTAGTGTTTTGTGTTTCTCTAGGGTCTTTCCTTTGGCATGGGTTCCTTAGTACCAGGCACATAAAAAGGACAAAGGACTAATGGTTAGATATTTTTAAGGTGGCAGAAAGGCGGATACACCAATGTTTATTGCAATTTGCAAATGCTCCATGATCATTGGGCTCTAGATTATAGAATGGTTCTAGTGAAGCTAGCACCTGTTTCTGTTTTTTTTAATAAAGAAAAGGGTGTGCTATCCATACATCCCATTTTACTTCTTACACATCCCATTTTACTTTTTACACATCCCTTGTTAATTTTTATCCGTTGATTTTTTTCAATTCATCTGATCTGATAGTCAAAAATTAGAAGAGTGTGTGAAAAGTAAAATGGGGTGTGTGAATATCACACCCCTAAAGAAATTGTAAGTTTAAAGTAATATCGTGAATGACAGTTGTTGGTAAAACCCAAAAAAAAAAAAAAAAAAAACTTAAATAAGGCATCTTTGCTAAATGAAATAATAATTTTTTTTTTCATAATAACGGTGTCTATTGTGACAACCTTATCCCTAACTTTACGATTTTATTGATTTTAAATGAGTGAAATTACGAAAATGCCCTTGAGGTAAAGGCGTTGATTTTTGTTGACCGCTTTGTCGTGTCACGTAAGATCCGTTTTCTTGGTGTATCCTCGTAGTATTTGTCGCTACGAACATGTGGGACACAAACAGAACGTAATTTGAAGCTATAACGAATGAGTTATTAACGTTTAAAGTCGGGGCATTTTAATAAATTTAACCTTCACTTGGGAAGATTCCAAATTTTCTTGAGCAATTTGATGGAGCCACGTGGACAGTTGTGATGAAGAGTGGAGCAGAGAAATGAGAGAGAGGGATGGATGAGAGGAGGAAGAAATTAGAGATGGTGGGGAACGGTTTGCCCAATCAGAAAGAAATGAAGGGAAAAGGGCGGCCAATGAGGATGAGAGAGGGAAGTCAGGGAACCAATCAGAAAAGAGAGAACAAGAGGGAAATGAGAGACCCAGCCCCAACTGAATCCCTTCGACCCATTTTTTACCTAGATTTTATGGCATTTTTCCAACGAAATTCGGTCAAATTTTCAAGCAATCCAAGGCCTCTATCACCTGCCATCATCATCGCATCACTTCTCATTCCATGTTCGATCCAAACACGATGGAGTTTCACCTCAGTTTCGAGAAAAATTGAGCGGGAGCTGCGAGCTTCACTGTGGCAGAATCTGCCATTCTTAAAGCAAACTCCGTCAACCACTACCCCTAATAGACTTCGCACAATGCCAGGAACAAGGCCCAAGCATGGGATGAGGCGTCGGAGTTCGTTTAGGCACCGAATCAAGAACACCCATTTCAAGGGTTTTCGACGGATCAAGGCATTTTCAGGCCACTTCCTGGCCGAATTGGATTTCGGCCTATATATGAAAGTTGTTCCTCTCATTGAGATCTTCATTCTTGTAAAATTTGGGAATTTTTGAAGTTGTTCAATTTTCCAACGAGCTGGGTCGGCTGACGACCACGTGCGGCGGCGCGTGGTTAGTGGGCCGACGTTGCCTTTTTAAGTTAAATTCAATGCTCGAATTTCAAATTGATAACCGTTTGTTATAGTTTGATAGTTTGAACCTAATATGGATTACTACGCCATTTGACCTATTTTATGATCCGACAATCTGACCATTGGATCGTCACCAAACCTTAATACATTATAGTACGTAATATTTGAGGATCATAGGAACTGACAGATTGGGAATCCGACATACGGATCTTTCCAAATTGAATTTCTAAGTTTGTAAAACAGATGTTGATAGCAACTAATTCTAGCAATTGACGGAGATCTGACCGTTGGATCGTAAAGAAGTTTTAGTATGTTGTTTTAGAAGCGTAGTGTAGACTTTGGGAAGTTACGCATTGGAAATCCATGGGCGAATGTTCCATATTGACTTGTATAGGGTTGTAGGACCTTACTTAGCGTATTTCGAAGCTTTGATTCCAAATTCGCACTCCATTTTCCCAAATTTAATTGTTTTAGTGGAGTTTTACTAATGGGTTCTAATATTATGCTTAGATGCGATTATTATCGATGACTTCGGCTATTCTAGTTCGAATAGGTTCGACTCAATGACATGATCTATGAGTGGGTCTTTCTTTGATATATACATATATACATGTTTAGTTTCCATACATACATCTAATAATGAATTTTATATATGAATGCCATAGTTAAATTAATATTGATCGGAAATGACGTAACAAATAGAATTAGGAATCATTATGAATCTTACGGGATGCCTTAGCTAAAATTATGACTATGAATAATATTATGATAACTAGAATTATCAAATCATTATGGCATGACTACATTTATGTTATTTGCTCATCATTTGTTGCACCGGTGTTTGTACTCGCCCAGGTCAAGACCACGCTTTCACGTATATGTGCACATCGCACTGTACGCTCACTTTGGATCCATTGTAGGTGCCAGTCCTGTTGAACAGGTTTCCATAGGCAACTCCAACTCGTATGTGTTGCGCATAGCGCCAGTCTTCACATGATTGTAGTACTAGAGCGTATATCATTATTACACCTAGTTCTATTCATGTCAGAATACCTCTGCATGAACTCGTGTGTCAGCATGTGTTGATGAGCACCCGATATGATATGTTGTTTATGCAAGATTTTTTGATTATGGATGTCATGCCCTTATTTACGAGATATTGTGCCATAATGAATTCTTGAGATTTTGCAGGCTATAGTAAGTATTTTCTTACTATACGTAGTATGTATATTTTGAAAACCATACTTGTTTTATAGCGAGGAGTTATTATGTTTTTGAAAAGGTTTTTACAAAGATTTGTTTCTAGGCCCACTCACTCTTGGTTTTCGCCCCTCCAGGTTTTATTGTTGGGCTCACATGTCAACGAGGATTCTTGGCAAGCTTGGTGTAGACGATTACCTTCGATGGTATAGTTCTCACTCTATCTTAATGTACTGTATTTATGCTCTGAAATCAAGTGTGAAATGAGTTCATTCCCACTCATAGCACATTCTTATATTTAGGTACTTTTAGGTTTAAATTTGTTCACATTTTCACTACATTTTATGGCTTCGTCACCCTCCGGATGTCGACCAACACAACTCGATTCAGAATCCAGGTAGACATTTCAGGTCGGAGTGTGTCATCTATAATCTTACCAACAAATTACAACATATATTATTGTTTTGCACTTCTAAGTATTGAAGCCTCCATGATAAATTTTTTGATAATACTTGCGTTCCTCCATAGACATTCCCACTTAGTTTGAATATCGTATATTATTATTTAAATTTCTTAATCGAAAGTCAAAACTGTTCAACTTCTTAATCTTCATTTGAAATCATCTCTATAAAAACTCATTCAAATCGAAAATCGTTTAATCATCCAAATATATGGAAAAATTTGACGATGTGAGTATCAAGTAACATACTTAGGATGAATTGTCAATTTAGTTGATATATTTTTAAAGATTAAACGATATTTGATTTGAATATTTTTTTATAGAAATGATCTTCAAATGAAGATTAAGAAGATGATTGAGTTTGATTATGAAGTTTATACGACTAAAATACGTTATTTGTAAAAGGTCGGTAAGTGCATAATGCACTCCCCCACAAGGCAACGCAAGTATTATTCGAAATTATTTCACGAAAGTGTATACTATTAAGGAATCTAAGCCGTTGATTTTCCTACTCATAAGTCAACAGATGAAGTTAGTTAATTAGGCTTATTGTAATACTACTGCTGGTTGGTCAGTGAGATATTTATCTCTCTTACACAAAATATTCATGTAATATAAATAGTAAACTCACGTAACTCATTCATTATTGAACAATGATTAGATTCACTGAATTTATTCTTTTAAATCCAACACTTACTGAATTGTAAAAGTGATTGAGTTGCAAAACTATATCAGTGTGATTAATAGGAAACCGCAGACTCTTCACTTCAAAACGTTAACATAATATCAAACCAAGTTGTTTACGTAAACTCTAATTATTGAGTCGTACTAAGTGGTATTAAGTATTCACAAATTATCTTATATTAAATAGTTCACTTCTAATTACATCGAAACATTTTATTTGAGAACAGTAACACTGTAATTAACGGTGCACCACTGACCCGTCTTTGTAAAATCATTACAAATAAAATTGTATATTCTCCAGGCAATATATTCAAGTCCATTTTGCTCATCCAAAGTAGCCAAGAAAATTAGGAGGTAAGATATGCCTCTCGAACCCATTTTTTGTGTCTCGTTTGTTTGGGCTTGACCCCCGCTTCACCCAATTTTTAGTGTCTTGTTCCATGAATAATGTGAGCCTATTGGTTCTTCCATGAATCACAGATTTCAAATTCTCAATCCCATTTAGCTCAAGCTTGGAACAGTATGGAGAATCATCCTTGTTTATAAGTACTTTTAAAATAACTAAAACTGTTTTTAGCGAAAATATCTTTTAGTTCAAAAATCACTTGAAGCATATTTTGGAAGAAGCACCAGTTATGTGTTTTTTACAGTCATTTTAAAAATACTTGAAGTTCATTTGCATTTTTACTTAGAATTGGTTCTAAAAATGCTTTTATCAAAAGTGTTTTCAGTCATTTTATTCTAAGTGACTCTTTCATACTTTTTATAACTTAACTAGTAAGGAATGATAAAAGTAATCTCTTGTGGACGACTGACACAAACAAAATTTTTATTATTTAATCTCTCTAACTTCCAATTAAATGGCTTCCCTTGTCTTCTCTCGTCATTTTTGCGGCGTGTCTCTATTATTTCATTTTCCTACTCCCCAAATCAAATGGTTCTATACAACATGCCCAATAATGTGAAATCATAGGGGTGAAGAGTACCTGGTGGGTCTCCAGAAGCACAATCATGCATGTTTTCTTTTCCTCAGCACCCAACATTTAACATTAATATTGATGAATTTGCTTGCTGACCACTGTTTGATATTGACACACATATTGAGGTTGTATGACCCTGCAACATATGGGCAACCATCCCCCTTGATCCGAAACGCCTAAAAAAGTATCCAATAATTAGTCTTTTTTATCGGGAAGTTAGCCCTTTTTGTTCATTCTAAACGAAAGAAAGTAACCTACTTTTGTAGTTAATGGCTAAATCCCGGGTCTTCGTTCTTTGTGACCGATTTGTGCGTGTTAGAGAGTAAGGCTACTTTTGTGGTTCGATAACTAGGTCTGAGATTAGTTTGACTTGCCTAATTCTTTATCATTATCATTTATATAACAAAAAAAAAATTGACAATTCAATGTTCTTGATGAATTTTTAAAAGTGAGATCAAACACATATATGACGAATTAGGCACATGCTTATGTAAAATGGCGAACGTCTGAGAGAGTTGTCTTAGCGACAACTGCCTGCACACGCTTAGCGTTTCTTAACGCTTAACAATCACGACTTGTCAAGGTGACAATATTAATGCATTAAGCCTGATTAGCAAGGCAACGAAAAGTTTTCTAATCAACTGACTTCGACCAGATGTTGATTGTAGGTAGCATCATCACATGATTTCCATTCCCCATTACCAAAAGTAGTGTTTTTACTTGCACCTCCTCCGTTATCAATTCTATCATTCCAAGGGCAATTGATTAGGGCAAATATAGCGACTGAACCAATATAATTGCATGTGAAAATTTTAGAAGATTTGTTTCTTTCTTTCTTCCAATAAAACATTCAAACCTTTATTCGTGTATCACATTATCAATCACGTTACTAATACAAGTGTGACTCACTTATACACGCATATTACGCCCTTGTTACAATTGTATTTAGTGTCTCGTAGACAAATGTAATATGCATACATTAGTGTTTCATTTTTTTAGTAGATTTCGCTTCTTTTTAAGATAAATATGTGAGCGACACTCTGCATCACATAAAGTTTCTTTCACGCACACATAACATTTGTTTTCTTTGTTTGCTTAGAATTCCTTTTCTTTTTCTCTTTACAATAATATTTGGAGTAAATGGAGAAAATACCAATTATACCATACACCTAGAGTACATTGGCTACAAGAATAGTTCTATTCACATACCAATTTTTACCTCTCTCACACCCTTGTTAACTTTTGACCATTGATTTTTGTCAATTCATTAGATCCGACAGTCAGAAATTAAGAGAATGTATGAGAAGTAAAAATATGTGTATAAAAACACTACCCTTACCACAATGGAGAAGAGTAGCCAAGCGCATCTCAATCTAACAAGATTGTGAAGACTTCTCTTTTTTCTTTTTCTTTATGTTTCAAACAAAACTATTCAAATCCTAGTTTGTGCATTACATTACCAATCTCAATCACGTTATTAATACAACTGAGTCTCGACTTGTTTGACACACAAATACGATACTTATCAAGGTCATTTTGGTGATTTATTTTTTAAAGATAAATACGTGATTTACGATTTCTATGACGTAAGGTAACTCTTTTTTGCATTTTTTATCCGCCTAAGTCTTCTTTTTCTGTTTCTTTATGGATAAATATTCGTCGGAATTAATGTGCAAAATACCAATTATGCCCATAGAGCTTGTTCACAGTAGCCACTATGGAAGACAACCAAAAGCTCGCACTCCGTCCAGGGCTTTTTGGGGCTTGCCGACAATGACACTGCCCGTAATTCACACCGAGTCGCCGAGTCATTTGTGTTTTGCGCAGCCCCAAGACTCACTTGTAGCGCACTGGTATAAATGCAAATACCGATCAAAAACAGGGTTAAAGATAAAGATACACAAACGTTAACGGGACACACACTCCTCTCTCCCCCCCTCGTCTCCTTCTTCTGGGTTTTCTGGGACACATTCAATTCGAGCTGTGTGTCTGAAGAGAGCCCGAGAGGCCGACGCAGGGTTTCTCTACTTTTTACTCTTGTAACACCATAAAACGGTAAAACCCCTCTCCCTCCTCCCCCCTCTCTGTCTAGCTAAAAGTGGTAATTTACCATGGAGCTCTGAGTGCTTTGGCCGGACGCCGTAGCCGTGGCCTAATCTCAACCGTTGATCTCTCGCCGTTCGGCACAGCGGGAGCTCCTCCGCCTCCAACTGTACGCTTCAAAATTCCCAATTTCCCGTCCTTTTATTTTTTTTCCCACTCTTTTTATTTCTTCTTTAATCCCCTGTTTTCAGTTTGTTATCGTGTTTTTGTTATCGAAAACCGCGTCTTGTTATCGGTATGTGATCCCGCTGTATTAGGGTTTGGTTGATTGCTTAATGATCGGTTGGTTTCAGTAGAGTGGCTTTACTGTGATCGCCCTAATGTAATTAGGGTTTGGAATTGTGAGTAATGGATGTGTTTAGGATAGTTAATTAGGTTTTGCAGGGATTTGTTTTGATAGTAATGCTGCTACATGGCTATCTAACTTAGTTACGAGACTCGATTCTCGAGCCTCTGTCCAAGTCAGCATTGTCCTGATTTTTCAATGTCTTGGATTTTGGATTGGCTTATGTTAAATTTTTATGTGTGCTGAATTTCAAGTTTGTTGTTAGAACCAAAGTTTATGTTGAATTTGTTTGTAGGTTGGTTTTGCTCCATAAAAGAGGGAGCCTTTATCGATACCCAAATGGCATGGACGGAGAAGGATGTTGGTAATGTGAGAAATGGAGAGCCGGCTGGAGAGAATGGATTCTTGAATGGTTCGCAGCCTTTGCCCAGTACCAGTGGTTCTATGGTTGCCGGAACTCCGGCAGGGAAAATGTTTGAAGTGAAAGGTGCTCTTTCTTATGCCAACATTCTTCGTTCGAGGAACAAGTTTGCTGATGCTCTGAGTCTTTACGAGACTGTGTTGGAGAAAGATCCCGGAAATGTGGAAGCTCATATTGGAAAAGGAATATGCTTGCAGATGAAGAATATGGGAAGGCTCGCTTTTGACAATTTCGCAGAAGCCATCAGGTTGGACCCACAGAATGCATGTGCTCACACGCATTGTGGAATTTTGTACAAAGAAGAGGGCCGTCTAAGGGAGGCTGCTGAGGTCTGATCCTGTTACTTCACTTTCTATTTCTATGGAAAGGAAAGATACAATATGTTTTCTATTACTTTTTGTGCTTTGATGATTGATTAATCATGATTAAAATTTTGACATTTTACCAGTTACTATTCACCTTTTTCGTGGAACAGTCTTATCAAAAAGCTCTGAAAGCAGACCAGTTCTACAAACCCGCTGCAGAATGCTTAGCCATTGTGTTAACCGATCTTGGAACAAGCTTAAAGCTCGCCGGAAATACTCAAGAGGGACTGCAGAAGTATTATGAAGCTTTGAAGACAGATCCGCACTATGCTGTAATTTAATATTCTCCTTTCCCTTTTGTAACCTTTATTATTCTTGTTTACTGTTCTTACAAATTTGTATACTTACCTCACTCTGGAAATGCAGCCTGCTTATTATAACCTTGGCGTTGTCTACTCTGAAATGATGCAATTTGACATGGCCCTTACTTGCTATGAGAAGGCTGCATTGGAGAGGCCGATGTATGCTGAAGCATATTGCAACATGGGTGTCATTTACAAAAATCGTGGTGACTTGGAATCTGCTATTGCTTGCTACGAGAGGTAGGCTACTGTTTGTATTCTACTTATCAGTCTAAACTGGGGCTTATGTATATGGTTTAGGATCTGGGATGCACATTTTGGACACGCCTTTTGACACATGTTTTTGTGGGGCCCACTCCATAATGTATTTAAACAATTCGAACCGTCTATATTTAAATACATCATTCATAGATCATCCTTGCAAAAAATTAGACAAATCCAAAACCATTAAGACATTCATTTGTAGTGAAGAAATTGGACGAATACGGTTATACAAGAAGCACTACATTTTATCCAAGGGTCATATGGTTTCGGATCGGGGTAATTTTTGGTAGACATGATCTTTCAGGAAGACCTAAAAGATAGACGGTTCAGACCGTTAAACATTATGGAGTGGGCTCCACTAAAACATGAACAAAAATGTGTGTCAAAAGCTTGTCTCCCCGGATCTTAACTCATATATATATACTGTAAATTCATTTGATGATCTATGCTGATGCTATTCTTGGTTGGTTGCTATGCTATACCAGGTGTCTTGCTGTTTCGCCAAACTTTGAGATTGCAAAGAATAATATGGCAATAGCATTAACAGATTTAGGAACAAAGGTGATGTTCATTCTGTTTTCATTTTGGATTCTTCCCTTTTTGATATTTTGTCTTGTTGTAATCGACTATATTACTCTTACGTGTTTTATTCTAGAACTTCCGTTTTGGTTTTGCTACCTAATTTTTTCTCTCTGTTCATCATTGTTTTGTTGGGTTTATTTGCTAATGATTGGTTTGGTTAAGAAGTGGACGATTTTTATTGTGCCAAGGTCCGAAGAGAATTTGTGTCCTAGAGGGTGGTGTCGAATTTATTACACTTACCTTGTCACTAGCGTAGGTGCTCCCGACATTTTTGTGCTAAGATACACCAAAAGAAATGTTCACCGACATGAATTTAATCAATCCTCAATCCTCAATGATAAAACTGTTCTGTAAGACAAATAAGTTTGCCAATCCCAAGATATACTCACACATAGGTTGTAAACTTTTAACCATGCGTATTGTTTTTTCAATGAGTACTAATTATGTGTATTTGACAAAGATATAAGAGATATTAGATGTTGAAAATCATTTAAGCATTTTGTACAGGTGTATAGAAGTCCTAACATTTTGGTGTTTCTATTTAAAGAAAATGCTGTTGAAAATGCAGACATGCTTTATTTGTTGCTCATAAATTTCATGTACCCATGTTTGTGGTTGCTAAATTTCCACAACTGAAAGGGTGTCTATACTCTGGCAATCTCATCATATATTTGCTTCAACATTTTTAACTGACTCTTTTTTACTAAATTACTTAATGAGTAGCATCCATGACTGAAATCTTTGTGGTGAAACCTGAGTATTGTATTTATTTTGTGTGAGATAAATATGATATGGTAAGTATTAACTTCAATGAGCCCACATGTTTTTCTTCTCTAGAATCTTTCATCATCCATTTGGTCTATCCATTTTCGTTTTAGGTAGACGAAAACACTTCTAGCTCATTTTCTTGCAATTCTTATAGTTCTGTTTTCTCATTATGTATTTCCAATTTTCTACATCTGATTTTGGATTCAGCAACATGTCTGTTTAGGTTAAATTGGAAGGAGACATTGATCAAGGCATATCCTATTACAAGAAGGCTTTGTATTATAACTGGCATTATGCTGATGCTATGTACAATCTTGGGGTTGCTTATGGTGAAATGCTTAAGTTTGACATGGTAAGTGATTTTTTTGTAAAGGAGAACTCTCATTTGGATGTATTTTCTTTATGGTTTAGTCAGTTCTACATTGTGTAGCGTATTGAATTTCTGTTTATGCAGGCAATTGTGTTCTATGAACTTGCTTTCCACTTCAATCCCCACTGTGCAGAAGCATGCAATAATTTGGGAGTAATATACAAAGATCGAGACAACCTTGATAAAGCAGTAGAGTGTTATCAGGCAATTTTTGATACTTGTACAAAAACATTCCTTTTTTTTCCTTCTAAAATACTGATTGAATGACATTACCATCATCCCGTTTATTCTCAAACTGCAGATGGCTTTGTCAATCAAACCAAACTTCTCACAATCGTTGAACAATCTTGGTGTTGTCTACACTGTCCAGGTTTAATTTCAAACCCTTTAATATGCCAGACTCTAGAATGGCTACACAGCAAATAGTCACTGACTGCCCTTTTTGCTATTAGCAGGGTAAAATGGATGCTGCTGCAAACATGATTGACAAAGCTATAGTTGCAAATCCCACATATGCAGAAGCATACAATAACTTAGGTTGCTCTTTCTCTTAAAATTTTTTCGTAACAAAATTTCTGCAGTTCACAACTTCACATATACTTGTTCTGTTGTGGTGGGTTATGTTTCATTTTGCTATAATTAATTTTGTTTGAATTTTGTTCTGTATTCATTTATCTTGGTTGTTTATGTACAGGGGTTCTCTACCGCGATGCTGGAAATATTACTCTCGCCATTGGTGCATATGAGGAATGCCTCAAAATAGATCCCGATTCCCGAAATGCAGGCCAGGTATTAATACTCTTAGACTCTCATGGGATTTACTCACAAGAGTGCAAAGTATTTCTTTTTTTTTGTCTTTTGGGTTATACCTGTAACATTACTGTCACTGAAAATTGTCAAAACTATAGTGGCATCATCCCACACCCAGCAAACCCTTCCCCCCCGCGGCCGCCCGCCCGGGGGGGCGGGGTAACAGCCATTAATTTACGATATGTTTCCATTGTTTACTGAATGCAAATGTCTAAATATAACATGACGGTTGTTCTCCCTTGGAAACGTCTTCAATGCCCTTGGTTTATTAGCAGTAAGTAATTGTCTACTGTGTGCGCAATTATTATCACAGGTGTAAGGCAAATCAGTTTTTCAAAAACTTCGTGGATTACAAATCTTTCCCAATATGTACAAAAGTTATTTGGCATTGTCACACAGAATGGCTTGACTGATAGTCTCAAAATGCTATTCAAGGTGTTTAGGAAGCAAACATATATCCATGCTTTAGCTTAACCATGTCTCTGTCGCTCTCTCTCTCTCTCTCTCTCGGGCAGACACCAGGGAAACAAAGTTTGGTATGGGCTTTACTAGATTACTGTATCATTTTCATGTTGAGTTTTTAATCTTTCTAACAACTGGTGGTGCCTAAACTTGATAGCTTGGCTAAGATATTTCCTGTAGCTAAGTAGGGTTTGTATTTGTTGGAGCTGCTAGTTGGCGATTTTTAAACCATAACTCTTGTTCATCACTTGATATTTGACATATAATTAATTTATTACAACTTAGATGAGTACTGCATGGAGCAAGTTGTACTTATCTTAAAATTTCATCTAACATGTTATATTTTCTTGCCAATTCCTTGAATGTTATGGTATACTGGATTTCTGCTGAGCTCATGCACCTTCATAGCTTCTTCCTTGGTTTCTAACAAGAACTTACCTCTCTCATCTATGAAATTCTGTAACATATAAAGATAACTTGGTTGTAGTTTTTGGAAGCCGCTAAATGAGTATTTGTTTATTTATTGTTGCTGCTTCTTGATCTATCCTACAGAAGAAACTCTTTGCAAGTATTGGTTTTAAGTTTTAATCTCTATTTGCCTGACCATTTTCTTGCAGAATCGATTGCTTGCGATGAACTACATAAATGAAGGACTTGATGATAAACTTTTTGTCGCTCACAGGTCTCAACTAATTCCTCTTTAACTTTGCATGATTACTTTTCTTTCTCTTTATTCAGTGAATGTAATAAACTTAATATAAAGAGAAAAAAAATTGATAAAAATATTGGTACATTTAAAGCTAGTTATATAGCCATTTTGTAATTTAACATTACCCTTATGATAAAGATACATTATAAATGTTTTGCCTAGTATTTTATCGACAATTGCAGTTTTCTTATTGGTGTTTATATATTCTTTTTTATGTTCTGCTTACCAATTTCAGAGCAGTGTTTAACCTCAAAATTGGGAGTTGTAGATTTGTTGATGCTTAGTTGAATTTATTTGCATGCAGGGACTGGGGTAGGCGCTTTATGAGGTTATATCCACAGTACACTTCATGGGACAATCCTAAAGATCCAGAACGACCCCTCGTCATTGGATATGTGTCTCCTGATTATTTTACTCATTCTGTTTCATATTTTATAGAAGCTCCGCTTGCCCATCATGAATACACAAAGTACAAGGTGGTTGTGTATTCTGCAGTAGTGAAGGTATTGATTTTCTTATTTTATTTTTACATTCATCCATGTTAGTTATCCATTTTATGTTTAAAGTTTATGCTTCCTGTAAACCATGTCTTACTTTTTCATCTGCAGCTTTTGCCAGAATTATACTCTCTTTGCTTTCAGTTCTGATTATAACACATTTTTGAAAACCATATGTTTAATGAGAACTTGTCATTGTACCTATGCTCTTAGTTTAGTTTTCCTCGTCTCCTGTCTTCATTTCTTCTCTGTCCCCTAACCAATTAGACCCACTATAAAATTGCTTAGTTAATTCTCAGTTGGTCATAAGTTCACATGTTCTCTCGAAATCATCTTTTTTTATATATTTAATTTCAATGCAGTTATAAAGTTAATAACTTGTCATTTTCTATAAGATCAGATATTAAAGTATTTCTATCCTACATACAATTTGGAATTGACTTTTATATAATGTCACAGGCAGATGCCAAGACTATTAGGTTTCGGGAGAAAGTCTTGAAAAAGGGTGGGATTTGGAGAGATATATATGGGATTGATGAAAAGAAGGTTGCAAGCATAATTAGAGAAGATAAGGTTGATATCTTGGTGGAACTTACTGGCCATACTGCAAACAATAAATTGGGAACAATGGCATGCAGGCCCTCACCTGTTCAGGTATGTTGAAAGGTGTTCTAATTTTCTCAGGCAGTTGGCTTTAAACATTCTTGTTTTCGTTTTCTGAGTATTTTTCTTTGTCGACGTTTGTCTTATAGACTTATAGTATAATATACAACATATTTTATAATATGTTGCAAATCTTTACTTTTTTTTTCCTTTTGTCCTCATCAAATCTGAAAGTTGAGGAATTTAAAAGAGAATGTCCTGGAATAGGCAGTTGCAATTTTCCTGTTTATTGGGCAACTTTCAAAGCATCGTGAGTTGCTTTATATATTGAAGCCTAATATATTTCTTTTCAGTCCGCAAAATGTGGGCCTCCCATTAAATTTGTCCTTTCATTTTCATGTGCCACACTCACTGTTTACGGGATTGTGTTCTTTAAGTAGCTAACCTTCTATTTCTGGATTTACAGGTGACCTGGATTGGCTACCCAAACACAACTGGTTTGCCGGCGATTGATTATAGAATCACAGATTCTCTGGCGGATCCACCTGATTCAAAGCAGACGTAAGTCTAGTCCTATTTAGTTCAATGATAATTACTCTTTTTCTTCTGGTTTCAAGGATGAGTATCTGATAGAGTAGGTAGTACCGTACTTTCTAGTAACTTTGTCTATTTTTTTGGTCAGGCATGTTGAGGACTTAGTTCGATTACCCAATTGCTTCCTGTGTTATACACCTTCCCCTGAGGCTGGGCCTGTTATGCCCACTCCTGCTCTTTCCAATGGCTTTGTTACTTTTGGAAGCTTTAATAATCTGGCAAAGGTATTAGTTAGGTTTCTTTTGTTCTTGTCATCAAGCATATAGCTATAATCATAAGCAATCTGATCACTTAATCATATTATAAAACTCGTTTCTTACCAAAAAAATAGTATTACATTTGTATAATGTTTTGTCTCACTCCTCTTTTCTTCGCCCTTATTAGATCACTCCAAAAGTGCTACAAGTTTGGGCAAGAATTCTTTCTGCAATTCCAAATTCTCGCCTTGTGGTGAAGTGTAAGCCTTTTAGTTGTGATAGTGTGAGAGAGAGATTTCTTTCAACATTGGAGCAGCTGGGGTTGGAACCACTACGTGTTGATCTTCTGCCTCTAATTTTACTCAACTACGATCATATGCAAGCCTATTCTCTCATGGACATTAGGTAAATTTGAGATATTTTGTCTTACATTTGGAAGGACAGTAGTGTGACTAGTGTCAAAGTTTGTTTATGTTTCTTGTCTATTTATCTCTCTTGGATGATCAAGGGGAGCAATTATCCGATGTGTGGGCTCATCTCCTCTGGATTCTTGAATTAGAAAGATTGTGTAGCAAAGCGAAAATGAACATATGAAGTAATTTTCACTCAGGAAAACAAGAGACTTGATCTTTGACTAGTAAAGATCAGTTGATCTATTTTTTGTAGTCACTCTAAATAAGCTAAAGGAAAGAACACAAAAACAGTTAAGTTGACCTGAAAATAATTCGAGAACCATAATGTGAATAGAGAAACTTGCGATGCTTTGTAGAAATTAGAAACCATTTCAGAATATCTGATGTGCATGCAATAAAGTCTCACCGGATTCACTGATGTTGGACCTCTGGCGGCACATTTTAGGAAGAGGTTTCACTTGTTACTGTTGGATCTTGTTTGGAGGTTCTAACCAAAGTTATCTTCTCTATATGTAGTTTGGATACTTTTCCATATGCTGGAACAACCACAACATGTGAATCCTTATATATGGGAGTCCCGTGTGTTACTATGGCTGGTTCAGTACATGCGCACAACGTTGGTGTTAGTATTCTCAGCAAAGTAGGTAAGTGATTTTTTTCCTCCTTTTTTTTCAATGTCTATCTGGTGTACCTTGCGTGGTTGCTCCTAAGATACCTTTTGCTTTATTTCCCTTATTGTTGGTTGCATCTGTTGGTTTATATCTCATATATGGCTAAGAAGAGAGTATGTGTCACAAGCTCTAGGACACCTGAGATCAAATCTCACTGTTAAAGGCACAAAGTTTGTAAACATTCTCCAAACTTGACTAGGTAAATAGATGTATCAGTTTAGAAATCAATTCCTTCAATATCAAACTTTTGATGGATGTGCACGTCTTACTGTTATGTCTGCATGTGTCCTTGCCAATGAATTGATCATTGTTTTACTGCTGATTGAACCTAACTGATTAAAGTGGACTAAATACAGGGTTGGGAAATCTGATTGCAAAAAATGAGATGAATATGTCCAGTTGGCAGTGCAGCTGGCCTCTGACGTAACAGCGCTTTCGAATTTGAGAATGGGTCTCCGGGACCTTATGGCCAGGTCGCCTGTCTGTGACGGACCAAAGTTTACCTCTGGGCTGGAGTCAGCATACAGGAGCATGTGGCACAGGTACTGCAAAGGTGATGTGCCATCACAACGGCAAATGGAAATGCTACAAGAGGAAGTAATTGCTGGAGACCCTGCTGCTGGATTCTCTGATCCCACAAGTATTAAAACACCAAGAGAAGGGCCTCCAGGATCTATTAAGACTAATGGATTTAGTCCTGTTCCACCGCCTACTCTTAACCCCCCCGCTTGTGAAGAAAATGGAGGAGTCTGATGGGCGCAGATCTGAGGCATTTGTACGGAGGTTCGTTGATAGGAAACCATATTGCTTTTCTGGGTGATTTGATCTCCGTTGGTATATTTAGTCGTGGCGGCTTATAGTGGAATTGAGTCCGGTGGTAAATAACGTGGAAGCACTGTGTTTACCCGCCTAGGATGACATTTTTGGGAACAACTGCTGGCAGCATTCGGAGTCTATTATTTTCTGCGCTAGAATTGCGGCTTTCTATGCGTGGTCCGTGAAACTATGAGCTGATATATCTTAGGTAGCTGTCTGCAATTTTCCCGACTAGAGAATTGTGGTTTGTAAATTGTAACTGAATCGTTGTTCCTTCTTGTCTAGGCTTGCTTGTATGATTTTTAAACAGCATAGTTGGTCAGATTACCTAGTAATTTTCTGGTTTGGTTACAGTTGAATCCTGCAATTTTCTCAAAGTTCTATGATTTAATCAACCTGTTTACAGATGGATTTTGAGTGCAAAGTTTAGCGTGTCTCGACGCTATGATTCGCGCAAAGTTTGCTCTTCATGAATAAAATTTACCCGCTCTATCCGATACTATGACAATCTTGGGCTTTCTTCTTTCCCATTCATCCTTCTGTTTATGTTCCTTGATTCTCGTGTTCTTATTCCGTCCGAAGGCTAGAAAAAATGACTGCAAGGGTGAAAAGGAAGCGAGAAATTACTTCTCCAAATCAATGCCGTTACCATAAGGCCAATGCTATTAATATTTCGAGCGTGGGATTGGGAAGAGGTGACTCATTTTCATCAATGGGGGAATCAAAGATACGAAATTGGGACAAGTTCCGAAGCTGAGAAGAGAAATACCATTAGACAAAAAACTAGTTGGTAATGAGTACTAGAATTATCAGCAAATTGTGTAAGGTGCCAAATACAAGGGTTCACTGTAGAAAACAACCACTCCCCCTTTTCACCGTTAGTATCCATGAAAGACTGAAGTACGCCGTCCGACCGTCATAGTTATCCGTTGATACAAACTATCCAATTAACTTGTTCCAGCTCTATGGCTTTATCTTTAACAACAGCTCTGCAATTCACTAACTCTGGTAGATCCAAGGCACGGCTTCATCAAGCTCTCGAACAAAGATGTCTAATCTTTGACAGATGTTCGTAGTATCTTCACATCATGCACCGGTCTGTATTAAGAACAAAAGCATTTCAGATAAGAGTTTAGATCAAATCATGCAAACTACGTCTGCCTCCTAAAGAAGTGTATTAAAATGGCGCAACAATTACATCGCTGACGATCATATATGCAATTAATTGCAAAACTTACAGATCTAAGTAGGACAAGGCGCTATCATCGCTTACAAAACTTTAACATAAAACCTCTTAATATTTCGTATCAATGCAGATCTACAGGTCATCACATTCGGCAAGATATTTTAACTAGTCACATATTTATCACTTCTCCGCAGCATCTCTTCCAAGTGAACAAAAGCAGACTCTTTATAATTGGTACTGTTAAAATATGAAAATATTCAATAACTACCCAGCATCATTTCCAAATTATTTGAAGAATCAGTGTCAATCGATTAAAACTGTTCGGCATATCTACCTACTATTGTCTATATCCAAAATCAAAACCAGATTTACACCTGCTTCTATGACTGAAAACTTAGTATAACGAATTTGAGTCCACAATTATTTATGCAAAAAAGAAAATAGTTAACGGCTTAACTTGCTTAGACATATAACTTCATAGCTTGACATCTCCTTTTTCTCCCTTCAGCTCTTAAAAAAAGTTTAACTCATACCAAATGAGATTCCTCTCGCAGATTTCATGAGACATTGTAGCTTAGCTTACTATGTCACCTCCTTTCACTCCAAGATAGACTGATACTTTGAATCCTTCAAAGGAGGTACTCCTACTACTTAGGTTGGAAACACATTCACTGGAAATTGGGTACCATTAATTAGGACAGGATCCATCTATGTCTCCTAATGCATTTCATTTCTACTTAGTGTTCTAAAGTCAAGATAACTTTATGACAAGAAAATTCAACCGAAGACTTTTCAATGCTATCACATGAGGCGGAAACATTTACAAACAAAACATACAGAAATTCACATCAGAAGGTAATCTTAGAACGTCATCATGACAATTTGCTTATCCAAGACCAAAATAGTTACCAAGTTGCATTCTAAAGTTTCAAACTCTGGAATCTTAAGTTATTGGTTTGGTGCAGTGAACCACAACAGACTGAGAAACTAAGAGGATCCAGCAGTGTGACCAATCATTTGCAGAAAATCCACAAACAGTAGAAGGCCATTTATCTGTATCAAATATCCAGAAATACAACTAACAGAAGGCATACCTATCAGTATTATCAGTCTGGACACTGCCAAGTTTTTTGATGACCTCCATTCCTTTGCAGATCCTTCCAAATATTGTGTGCTTTCCTGAATGAAGTAGAAACGCCGTGCAAGTAAAAATACTGATTGAAACAAACAAATGAATCCAAGTAAAGAGTATTTTCTGCTGAAAGGATGGTATACTATCATAAAGAGGTCACTTTGTAGCTCAAACAGAATCCTAACAGTGATGGTTTTGATTATTAGAGTCACCTAAAGCCTATAGGTTCCCGTGCACAAAAACAGCCCAATACCCATAACTATCTCCAGATTGCGTGTGCATGTCAAATCGTAAAATGCTCATAGCAAAATCACAAAGAAATAGTGTTATGGAAAGAACTGTTTTTCAGTCTCTAGACATTTCAATAGGTCACAGAGCGGTGAACTGATGTCTCGTGCAAATAACTTCTAAAGTCAACATATCACAAGTCCACCAAACCACATTCTATGCAAGATAGGCAGACCATCGTAAGGCAAAAAAGTTTACTGCTAAGGATCACTTTTATGCAGATTAAGTAACAAGAAAAGTTAAATACTGCACATATAGTAGTAAAAAACAGTCATAACATTACTGCGTAAAAATTATCATACCATCCAATGATGGGCACGGTGCCAGCGTGATAAAGAACTGGCTTCCATTTGTATTCGGACCAGCATTCGCCATCGATAAGATGCCAGCTCCAGTATGCTTCAACTCTTGTTTTATCTCATCCTCAAACTTTCCCCTGAAACCCATTATACAAAACAAGTTCTTCACTATAGTTCTCAAATCTAATTAAAATAAGGGGTCAAAAAAAAAAAATTCAAAATTCAATACATAATGGGTAAATTCAAGGGAATTTTGTTTACCCATAAATGGATTCTCCACCCCTTCCTGTCCCAGTGGGATCACCACCTTGCACTATGAAATCCTACCCCAATTCCAATTTAACTGTCAGTAAAGTATACAGACATACATACATACATACATACATATATATATATATCTAATATATATACACACACACTACTAAACAAGCAGAAATTATGAAACCTTGATGATTCTGTGGAATTTGACATTGTCATAGTATCCTCTGCGAGCGAGCTCGATGAAGTTCCTGCAAGTCCTCGGCGCGTGCTTGTAGTAAAGCTACGATTATAACGATTTGAAAATACAAATAAAGTTAAAGATGCAAACTTTATGGATTGAATTGTCAGTTTGGTTACTGAGAAAGTGAAAGAAAATTGAAGAGAAAGTTTGGGACGAAAGAAAATTTACCTCGACGGTGAAGATGCCAGTGGTGGTTTCTAGAGTGACCTCCGGCGGCCTCCTTCTTTGCTTGCCCACATCTTTCCGTACCTGAAGATTTTCAGACTGAGAGAGCACAAGGTTTCGACTTTGAACAAAAGAGGGGCATAACGCGAAAATGTGCAATGACAATTACACCTTTTATGAATGACAAGCGCTAGCAACTTCCTACATTTCTAGTCTACCTTACATTTTCATTTAAAATTTTTCACTTTTAATTATGCTACGTCTATTTCACTGACACGCAAAATTAAAAGTTTAATTATTTTTGGTTGACAAACTAAAGTCTTTACTATCTCTACTAATTAATAAAACATTTATTGTCAATCAAAATTCGATGAAATTACCTAGTTTAACCCTCTAATTAAAACAGAATATGAATACGAAAATATGGGGTAGAAATGTAATTTCACACAACCAAATTTTTTTTTTTTTTTCAAAACCGCACCTGCATATAATCATAACATATCTCTAATTAATAAATAAATAAATTTCCCACTTCCACATTCTCTATCACTCTCTTCCTCTCTCCTTCTATTTCAAAAACAAAAAATAAAAAATTTTCTCACACACTTTGTGTGTGCCCATATGTTAGTTTTAATTATATTAACAAAGGAAGAAAAATAGTTATAAAAATAAAAAATGAAAAAGAAAGGAAAAAAAATAGAGGGATTTTTATATGGTTAAAATTTTAGTTTTGACTGTTAGTGGAGTACACGTGACATGATGAAAAGTGAGAATGTTGAAATGAGAAGATAAGTGAGTTTGTGAGAATATTGCTAGCATTTCTCTTTATAAAATAGAAAAACCAACACAACGAACACATGTCATGATTTTTCAATTTTTTTTTTATACAGTGATACATAATTAGATATAAGTAAAAAAACGAAGTCAATTACTATGTTTAATTCGAGACATTTTTAGCCATTTAAACATGAAGCCTCTATATTCATTACCATCCTTAACTTATTTACCGGATCTAATAATCAAACGAAATGCATAACATAACATGTTAATTTTGATTAGAAACCGCATGTACAGGTTGATTCACATTATAAACCTACACCAGAGGTCCATCAGCATATTATTATTTTACACCGAACGTCCATTGCTCTTCAACGTAGGTTCAGTAAAATTATAGACCAAATGGATCGGTTTACTAAATGATTTATGCTAGGAAGACTAAATTACAAAATTTGAAATCGAGAACAAGGAATCACAACTCCGACATGTCGTTTTCGTTGTACGACCTGTCGTTCGTTTCGAATTTGGCTTGGGATTTTGCCGTTTCGAACGAGCAAGCAAAAGAGGAAGAGGAAAGAATGAGCAGAGCAGCTCAGAGACGAAAAGAATCACCACTCTTCAGAAGGGGAAAGAAAGTGAGTGAAGAGGGAATCGAAGGGGAGGCCTGCGGGCTTCGGGTTTTCGGGAATGGCGGAGATGTTCCAAGGTGGGGTCCATCGAGCAACCGGAATCAGAAGAGCCGTCGTGATCGGAAACGGGTTCGCCGGCGCGGAGAATCAGAGCATTGGGTTGGTTCGTGCGCTCGGCCTCTGGGGTCGTCAGTCCCTTTACGTAAGTAATCAAAGTTTCAATCTTTTTGTGAAAATTTGAGAAAACTGTTGGTATTGGTATTGGGTTTCTGTTCTTGTTTAAATTTAATCATTTGCTAATCTGGTTTTGAGCATGTTTATTAGGCATTGTTATGGTTGGTTTGATTGGTTTATTAATGATGATTAAGCAGCGTGTTAGGCGGCCAAGAGGAGGGATTAACGACTGGCTTCACTGGCTTCCACTCCCTC